AGCAAGATTCATCCTTTCGATTTGCCCTGTTTAACATTATCACCAAGCGTGAAAATGAAAGAAAATGCAAAATTGTGGTTTGTCACAGAACAAGAATAAAGGGGATATCTTCCAATGGCAATACTAGGTCTGGTGACCCAGATGACAAATAGAGATTTTCTCTCTTTGGAAGGATTTCCTCCCACTTCTTGTTTTGGCTGTGGGGCAGGGAGTAAAGCGATATCTCCCAAATGGTACATCAAATCTGACAGGGTTATAACCCTCCTTTACTCTAATTTAAAATGGCGAAAGAACATTTTGCCTTTTGGTTCTACTTTTAACTTTCCCAAAAGCGTTACTTTTAGGGTTGCCACTTCATCCCTTTAAAACCGAACACATATTAATTACACAGGTTCTGAGGCTAATTTACCCCTAGCTCACATATCTGTGGCTGTGCGGGCCGCGTTTTATGCGAACACAAGAGCCCATTCATTAGAATGGAATCCCATGCTCCAGGACACACAGGGAAGTCCCTGCACTTCTTTGGAAACCGCAGCCCACACGGGAATCAAGGTTCCCAGTGCGATTGCGATTTCCAGTGCGAGCGGCATGCCATTAGAATTAATGGCACCCGTCCATGGGTTCCGCATGGCTCTGTGCAGGTGGTGCGGCTGCAGGTATTTTTGTGCGGGTCCCTCAGCCGCACCACCCGCACAGATGTGAACCTAGCCTTAATGCAGATAAGGCACTAAGTAAGTTTAATTACCACCTTAATTGTGTGTTCAGTTTTAAAGGGATGAGTGACAACCCTAGTTACATTACTTTGCAGGTGTACTATATTATTATGCTATTGGACCATATGAAAACTATGCATCTGACTGATTTTACTGTTGATAACATTTTGTCTTATTCATAGGAGAAGTTCACCTTTTGTAGCATGTTACAGCCATATTCAGGGTGTAACATGTAATGCTTGAACTGGCTCTTCTCCTCGCCAGCTGTCACAATTTAAAAAAAAAGCAGGCGGGCAGGGCTCCACTCATTCACAGTATCTTGTAAATTGGAAAACTACAAGCCCCAGCAGCCTTTGCGGCTGTCGGTTTGTAGTTTTCGATGAACTGCCACGGCACTCCACAGCAACGTGGTAGTTCATTAAGCTTTCCTGTATGTGAGGTTCTGCTTGCCCATAGAGGATGTACGAGCAAGCAGATATAATGACAGGTCAGGGGGAGACCTGCATGGTACCAGCGATCTGCTGATTGCTGGTGCAATGCTTTAGAGCAGGGTTTCTCAACCAGGGTTTGTCCAGAGGTTGCCAGGGGTTCCTTGAGCAATGAGCAATTTTTGCCTCTCAGGTAAGTTCCCACTGACACCATTGATCTTTTTAGCAACCTTTAAGGGGCTAATTCTTCCCAATGACCACAAGTGTAAGGAGCATTCTTACCTCTGACTACCACACTAATGTATCATGTAGATAAAGCCATCTTTAGCAGGGGTTTCCTGAAACCGGAAAGTTACGTCAAGGGTTCTTCTGCATTGAAAAGGTTGAGCAAGACTGCTTTAGAGGCTCCATAAACAAAGAAATAATAAATGCACATTTTTTTTTACCTGCAAAAAAATTTGCAGTTATTTTTTGTTAAAAGGTGAACTTCTCCTTTAATATCATATTATAATATCTTTAATATCATAGATTTTGCACTATATGTGTGTATATACTCTGTGTGTGTGTGTGTGTGTGTGTGTGTGTGTGTGTGTGTGTGTGTGTGTGTGTATAATATATATATATATGTGTGTGTGTGTGTATACATGCACATATACATACATATGTGTATTCCATATCTCCAAAAAAGAATAGTCTATGTTTGGCATATCAAAAAATTGACGGCAAAGCATTGGACACTCCCACTTGGAAGTATTCCTTTAGTAACACGTACCCACATGAAAGCCACAGGTATACCGGAATTAAAACATTCACATTCTATTTAGTTGCTCAATAAAACCAATCCAGGTCTACATAGAATATGAAAAATTAATTACAGTTTCTGAAAGAGCAGACTTTCAGTGTGGATTTTGTTGTCTTATCATATATGAGGTCCACACAGAAACAGTTCATAAGACAAATCTGTTGTCTTATATCAATGATGTAGGACATATGACCAGTGTATATTTATATATGTACTTTTCCCACAGCAACTAACAGTTCTTTTACAGAGAGATGCATTTTTTCGGATAAATATATTTGTTACAGATGACAGAAATCCAGCTGAATACTTGTAAATATTACAATGAACAACAGCCCTCAGAGTCCCATTTAAGATACTTCATATCAAGCATAGAGATAATACACCGTCCAGCATATGTCCGATATATAATATGCACCTAGGTAGCTTCCATGCATGCAATAATGTGAGTTATGATCTATACCTGTGCTCCCATATTAATGACAGGAAAATCTCCTCTCCCAGCCAAAATAACTTCCCTTGAAATACAGTTTACTGGAGGGTTTCTGATTGGCTGACAAAACACTTTTGATCTTGCATGAAAAGACTTCCCACAATTAGGTTCACTATAGTGTTTACCAGATGCACAAGTCATCCTTTCACCATATAATACACCCTCAAGTCTAATTACCATCAATAAATACTTCTTGTATGGTCAAGTCACATATACAATGTACCCTTTGGAATGTCTAATTAGATAAACAGGCTATTCTCCAAATACCAAGGTGACCTCCATAAAATAAACATAGCAAAGAGTTCTTTTAATGTGTATAGTGGTCTTTTCACTGGGCTGTCCAAGAATGAACAGTGTGTGTTTCAATATATATATATATATATATATATATATATATATATATATATATATATATCACACACAATATACTACAGATTTGTGTTCTGAATGGCAACCAATCAAGTTGTCTACCTTACATTTCAGACATGAACTGGATATAAACACTTTACTGTTTGACTGAATAGACAGCAGCAAGAATAATGGGACTGCATCAGGATGTCTTGTCTACCTAACGGGGAAATACACATGCATATTGGCATTTATCCTCGGTTCACATCTGTGCGGGTGGTGCTGCTGCGGGACCCGCACAAATGCCTGCAGCTGCACCACCCACACAGAGAAATGCAGGACCCGCAGGCGGGTGCCATTACTTCTAATGGCACACTGCCCGCACTGGAAATCGCAACCGTACTGGGAACCTTGGTTCTCGAGCGGGCTGTGATTTCTAGTGCAGGGACGTCTTCCCTGCGTGTCCCGGGCATGGAAGTCCATTCAAATGAATGGGCTCTCATGCCCACGCAAATCGCGGCCCGCACAACTGCTTAGATGTGAACCAGGGCTCAAACAGTATGTAACAGACATCTCCAACTCTACTATTGGCTTTGCAATATTATTGGCAACCAGAAAATTGCAGCTTTACACTAGGTTGCATTTTTTTTAGTTTTTTTTTGCGGTGTTGTGCTTTACTTTATCACAAGAAGTAATATGCAGTGTATTTTAGTGTATGATCTGTGGAAATGCTCATGATGATGTGGTCAGTATGTTTGGGTCAATGTTAAAAAGGTACCAAATTCTGGAACATGTGCTCAAAAAAGGCAAGCAGAGTGTAAATGACTGCTCGCCAGTATTGCCTGTGGTTTCCTTGCAGCTTTTTCTCCCCATTGCTGACCTATACCATGCCATGTTCTGCATGACGGTGGCCATCTTGGCTTTCAGTAAGGGAAATAGTAAGCAGCACAGCAGCAATATCGCCACATCTTACATCGACTTCTGAGACTAGCAGTCAGAAGCAGCAGTGTTTGTTCTCACGTTGCAGGTATAAAGCTATGAAGCTGTAGGCACAGGAATGCCTAGATACCCTCACATACCAGGAAGTTTGCTACTATTTTTTATGTCAAAACGAATAAATTCTTTATTGAAAAGTCTTTTACAAGGAAAAATGTAAATACGAAACCATTTGAAATGTGAAAGACGGGGAGATTTACTAAACCTGGTTCATGCAGAATCTGGTGCAGCTGTACATGGTAGCCAATCGGCTTCAAACTTGTTCAATTAAGCTTTAGCAATAAAACCTGGAAGCTGATTGGTTTCTATGCAGAAGTGCACCAGATTCTGAGTAAACCAGCTTAAGTCTAGGTTCACACCTAAGCGGTGCGTTTTTGTATTTTGCAGAAACGCACAGCAGTCCATTTAACATGATTTCCTATGGGACATGTTCATATCTCCGCGTTACTACCCGGTGCATTTTTGGGAAAGGGTCAGGGACTTTTTTAAATGCAAAACGTTGCGTTTTGGTTCAATGGAATTCAACGGAGGTGCTGCAGAAATGCATGTAGTGTGGTGTTTATGCGTTTATGCGTTTTGCATTTTAACCACTAGCCTACCGGGCACTTATACCCCCTTCCTGCCCAGGCCAATTTCCAGCTTTCAGCGCTGTTGCACTTTGACAATTGCGTGGTCATGTAATACTGTGCCCATGTGGAATTTTTATCATTTTTTTGTGACAGATAGAACTTTATTTTGGTGGTATTTAATCACCTCTGAATTTTTAATTTTTTCTTAAACCACTTAAAATTTTGAAAAAAAAAAAACATTTTTTCTTAGTTTTTGTTATACAGTTTTATACATAAGTGATTTTTCTCCTTCACTGATGTGCGGTAATGAGGCTGCACTGATGGGCACTGATAGGCTGCACTGATGGACACTAATAGCTGGCACTGATGGGCTCTGATGAGGAGGCACTGGTAGGTGGCACTGATGGGCATTGACAGGCATCACTGATGGGCACTGAAAGGCAGTACTCATATATGGCACTGATAGGCGGCATGATAGGCGGCACTGACGGGCACTGATAGGCGGCACTGACGGCACACTGATAGGCGGCACTGACGGGCACTGATAGGCGGCACTGATGGGCACTGATAGGCGGCACTGACTGGCACTGATAGGCGGCACTGACTGGCACTGATAGGCGGCACTGACGGGCAGTGATAGGTGGCACTGACTGGCACTGTTAGGTGGCACTGATAGGCAGCACTGACGGGCACTGATAGGTGGCACTTATGCACGCTGATAGGCGGCACTGACTGGCACTGATAGGCAGCACTGATAGATGGCACTGATTGGCAGCACTGATAGGTGGCACTGACTGGCATTGATAGGTGGCACTGATGGGTAACACTGAAATACAGCTCAGATGGGCACTAAAATGTGGCACTGATGGGCACTGGCAGGTGGCATGGATGAGCACTGAGAGCTGGCACTGATGGACACTGACAGGTGGCGCTGCTGGGGCTACACAGATCATCAGGGCACACTGATCATCAGTACCCTGATGATCAGTGTACATGTCCCCTCCGCGGAAAGCCGATTACCGGCTCTCCACTCCTCGTGACAGCTCGTGGGGAGAGAAATGCCTATAACTGGCATTTCCCTGTTTACATGTGATCAGCTGTGAATGGACACCGCTGATCACATGACTGAGCCGACATCTTCGGCTCTTTCCGTGGATCGGTGATCCTCTGTGTCCGAGAGACACAGCGCACTGCCTATCGCCGCACTGCGCGCTCCGGGAGCTGCTCATGCGCGGTTAGAATGGGAGGATGTCATATGACGTCCTCCCAGAACGAGAGAACCACCTTGCATCCGTCACATTACTATATGGCGGGCGGGAGACGGTTAATCTGCCTAGCAACTAGTTTGGAAAAAAATCCATAAAAACACATCAAAAACACATATGCAAAAACGCAAAAGGCACTGCAAACAGCACTGTAGAAACGGATCAAATGCATGGGTGTGAACCGAGCCTTAGGGTTGGTTCACACCATAGAAACGCAGTCCAGATGCATTCTGGATGTGTTTCCGCATGCACGTTTTTGACGCATTCTGGTGCATTTTTGATGTGTTTCGGTTCATTTTTTCTCCCTCTCTTTTTCTTAAATTCAAACAGTGACATGTGTGTTCCAGTACGTTTTTGGTGCATTTTTGATGCGTTTTACCATATTCCAGTACAATTCTGTGCTGGAAAAATTCCTGTTGTACACTTTTTGTTTTTCTGCTACTGGAACGCACTTGAACTGAAAGCCCTGATGTGAACTATGACATTGACAACCATATAACCTACTTTCTGTGCGTCTTGGATGCAGAAAAAAAAAAGCACAATGAAACGCATGTAGTGTGAACTGGACCTTCGTAAATAAACCCCACTATGTTTCATTAAGTAGTTGTCTAACTGGACTCAATAAGAGGTAGCATGTACAGAGCTTAATACAATGACATGCAACTATGAATTAGCAGGGTATGCATAGTCCATAAAAACACCCAAATCACCAAAATAGCTTGCCTGGATGGGAATTCAAATAAGCCATCAGTAGGGTGTAGTTTTTCTTTCTTTACATTCCAACTCCAGGAAACCAAAACAATTTCCCTTGGGTGCAGTACCAGCACTACAGTGTTTAACTGCTTATTTAATAAAGAAAAAATCCTCTTGCGCTGCCAGAACTAATATGACAAACTAAGAATGTCTGCAAACACCAAATTGCGTTCCCACAACACAAAAAAATAAATGAATAGTTAATAGTGCTGTGCTACTCACTAAACCTAACCATAAAGCAAAAAGTAAACGCCTGACAGAGCCCCTAACTAAGGTGATATAAGTGCATACCTAGAGAATAACCAAACACAAGTGAATGAAAATATCCAAACAGACTAGATGCCTTGCTAGGCAATACCAAATATGAACAAATCAATAAGTGGAACTTCAAAATGTGCAAATAGACAATCAGAGTGATATAATAATAAATAAATACACACACACATATACATATATATATATATATATATATATATATATATATATATATATATATATATATATAAAGAAAGCACACAAAATGAAAAGATAATGTTGAATAATAAACACACCCTGCTGAGCTCTTGTGATGGATATGGTAAAATGCCTATTTGGTTTGTTTTTTTTATATCTTATCTACTTTTGCACTTTTATATTTTTATATTTCTAAATGCTTTGTATGATATATATATATATATATGTTGTGTGTATATCTGTTGTCTGCTGGTCTTTGTAGTCCTCAACTCAAAAATGTCTGCTCAGCAACCCCTCCCATCGAGTGAACTTGAGAACAAAAAAAAATATTTATTTTCAGAGATAAGACCTAGAAGGAGATCACGCCTATATTCTGAAAGGAGATTTGCATCATTTTGTTTTCTTGTGTAAAAACTACCAATCAAAGACTAACTCAACCCAGTGTATAAATGTAGTAAAAATCAAGATCTGTAATTCAGAAAAATCTTCAAATCAGCATATATTCCACACGTGACTTGAACAGCTCAATAATGGAATGCAGCGCTAATGCAGCGCTCACATGACTCTTGCATCATTTTTCATTTATAAGCTCACTTTCTTATTATAAATAAACTAGAAATTTTCACAGACCGAATATGTGTTTAATATCAGTCTGAAATTCAACCAGCTCTCCTCTGTTACTTTACTGGCTCCTTCTTCAATTCCTCATCAGAAATTCATGTTCAAAAGAACATCAAAGGACATCTCATACTGTAATACGTTCAGGTTTAATGTATAAAAACAATAGATAAATTTTAAAATCAGGCCAGAAGACCCAGGTAATGAAATACATAGGAACAGGTGTACCATGGTAGCACTGACCAGAAATTATGTCATCACACTTCCTTCCTACACGGTACCTCACGAATCACATGACTTCCTTAGGGATCACCTTATTTAGGGGCTCGGTCAGGTGTTTACTTTTTGCTTTATGGTTAGGTTTAGTGAGTAATGCAGCACTGCTTATTTATTCATATAACTTCTCATTTAGCCCTTTGCCCTCCAGACGATTTACCCCCCTTCCTGATCGGGCCATTTTTTGCGATACTGCACTGCGTTACTTTAACAATTGCATGGTCATGCAATGCTGCACCCAAATGAAATTATGTTCTTTTTTTCCCACAAATGGAGATTTCTTTTGGTGGCATTTGATTGTCTCTGTGTTTTTCATTTTTGCGCTATAAACAAAGAGACCAACAATTTTTGAAAAAAAAAAAACTATATTTTTTACTTTTTGCTATGAAACATATCCAATAAAAAAAATTTAAAAATAAAATTTCTGAATAAATTTAGAACAAAATGAATTCTGCTACATGTCTTTGCTAAAAAAAAAAATCCCAATACATGTAAAGTAATTGGTGGTGTATATACTGGAGTTTTAATTTTATGTTTTTTATAGTAATGGCGGAAATCAGAGACTTATAGTGGGACTGCGGTGCGCATTCTGACACTGGGTGGGAACTGACTAACAGCCATTGACATCCCCAGTGACACTAATACAGAGATCAGTGCTAATAAAAAAAAAAAACTGACACTGTACTAATGACACTGGGCAGGAAGAGATTAACATCTGAGTGATAAAAGGGTTAACTGTGTGCTCTGTGTGTTTTACATTGTCTGCTGTGTACTGTTTTACTTGGAAGACATGTTGCTTTATATCTCTTTGCTGTGCAGAGAGATACAAAGCAGCATGTCCATGCTGACAAGAGAGAGATTTGTGTTATTTACACACAGATCTCTCCCCTCTCAGCCCTGCCAACGATCACCGAGTGATTGACATACCCAGCAGCCAATAGCGATGCGGGTAGGGCGTGCATGTGCGCCTTCCCTACCCAGAAATGCAAATCATGTATATATATATCCGTGATTTTGCCAGCCATGCCGCCCTGTAGCCATACTTCTGCTATAGGGCGGAGGGCAACAGGATAGTATAGTGTGCAGTAAAAACACTTAATTACTCAATGCTCCACTACCCCAGCAGACATGCCTCCCCTATGCTTTGTCAATGGACTGTCCCTCACCATACTCATGGTTAATACAGGTCTGTGGCTGGCTTGATGGTGTCACAAGGTCCTTAGACCATTGATCCATGGGGGAATCTCTATGAGAAGAGGCTGAAGGGACTGGTCTAGCAGTGCAGAGCAGCCTGTAGCAGAGAAGGGGTTAAACATCTGGTTTTCCAAATCCCCTAGAAACAAACAGCTAACAATTGTAGCAGCAACAACATAAAAAGACCAAAAAAAAACCTTATATTGCCATCTAGCAACAATAGTGAGAAAGTATCTGATCTGCCTGAACAAAAAACTACTGCACTAAACATCTAAAGCAAGGTGTTTGTTTCATTTTAACCTGAAAGGCATATATATATATTTTTAGAATCAATTACCGCTTTAGCAAAAAAATACCCAACACTACATACTATATGTATATTTACAACAGATACCTAAGAGTGGTAATTATGTCTCACTGAGGCTCTAAATCTTTTTGTACGATCACAACTACCGTAGAAGTATTTTTGTTAGCTCAATCTGAACCTTAATATATATATATATATATATATATATATATATATATACATACACTCACATACTATATTGACAAAAGTATTTTAGTAAGTAATAATAAATATAATTTTTTTTATATATATATATATATATATATACACATATACACATACATACATATACACATACACACACAGATGTACACGCACACACTATATTGACAAAAGTATTGGGACAACCCCCCAAATCATTGGATTCAGGTGTTCCAATCACCTCCATGGCCACGGGTATATGAAATCAAGCACCTAGGCATGCAGACTGCTTCTACAAACATTTGTGAAAGCATGGGTCGCTCTCAGGAGCTCAGTGAATTCAGGCATGGTACTGTGATATGTTGCCAGCTGTACAATAAGTCCATCCGTAACATTTCCTTGCTACTAAATATTCCACGATTAACGATTAGTGGTATTATAACAAAGCTGAAGCAATTGGGAACAAACAGCAACTCAGCCACAAAGTGGTAGGCCATATAAAATGACAGAGCAGGGTCAGTGCATGCTGAAGCACACAGTGTGCAGAAGTTGCCAACTGTCTGCGGAGTCAGTACCTAAAGACCTCCAAACTTCATGTGGCCTTTAGATTAGCACAACAGTGCGTAGAGAGCTTCATGGAATGGATTTCCTTGTCCAAGCAGCTGCACCAAGCCTTACATCACCAAGTACAATGCAAAGCATCTGATGCAGTGGTATAAAGCACGCCGCCACTGGACTCTTGAGTAGTGGAGATGTGTTCTCTGGAGTGGCAAATCACGCTTCTCTGTCTGGTAATCCGATGGACGTGTCTGAGTTTGGCGGTTACCAGGAGAACAGTATTTGCCGGATTGCATTGTGCCACGTGTAAAGTTTGGTGGAGGGGGGATTATGGTGTGGGGTTGTTTTTCAGGGGTTGGGCTTGGCCGCTTAGTTCCAGTAAAGGGAACTCTTAAGGCATCAGCATACCAAAACATTTTGGACAATTTCATGCTCCCAACTTTGTGGGAACAATTTGGGGATGGCCCCTTCCTGTTCCAACCTGACTGCACACCAGTGCACAAAGCAAGGTCTATAAAGACACAGAGGAGTGAGTTTGGGGTAGAGGAACTTGACTGGCCTGCACAGAGTCCTGACCTCAACCCGATAG